TCCTGAGTTCAGTTCCCGGCAGCCACATGGTGGCTCACAACCATCTGTAATGTGATCTGATTTTTGGCGTGCAGATAGAGCCACCATCTATAGAAGGTAAATAGATGAATCTTCATTCATTTTGGCATCTAAAGTTGCACTTTTTATTACATACACGTGTGTATGCGTGCCCTTGCACACGCTGCTCAGTGGCCATCTTTCTGTTGTCTGTCTCTTGATGTCTTGTTTTTCGTTCTTGTTTGTCTGTTTTTGAGACATGGTCTCCGTGGGTAGCTCATGCTAGTCTGGATCTCACTGTTTTCAGGCTGGACTTGAACTCATGAGTGTATTGTCTTAGCCTCCAGGTGCTGGCATTACAGGTGTGTGGGACACGTGCTGCGTGGTATGAACACTGCACGTCTACCCCCTATTTTATGTTGGTGGTGGTGATTTTTGCTCTTCAGGAGCTTTATTATTCTGTGTAACTAGAGCCTCATTTTCTTACAGGTTCTGCCCTACCTGCTGTCAGAGCCGTGTTTGAAAACATACGTGCAGAGTGATGTGGTTTTTAAGGCGTTTCATTTGCACAGACGCGGAGCAGCTGGCGTGAGAACTGATTCTGTGATTTCAGAGACAAACACGGTGGCAGTGCCCCCTCTGCCCAAAGATGGTCACGTCCTGCAGGAACAGAAAGTGAATTGCGCTGCTATTTCTGGGAAAAGTGAGAAAGGTGGAAGGTACAATTGTCCTCTTGGAACTCTGACACTCAGCGTTACCCCTGAGGGACAGCACAGCCGCTGAGGACAGAGTGGACTCTGCGGGGCCTGCTGGCCCAGCCTCGGTGGTGGTTGCTCAGGCTTGCACTTCTCTTTTTGCAAGGAGTGCTGTGGTTTAAATCGATGTGCTTCTGGGAATGAGCCCTTATCATTTCCTCGCTCGCATTAACTGCCTCACTCTTACCCCTCTGTGGCTCAGCGCCCTTTGCCCTACAGGTGTGGCATTCAGTACTTTCAGGATTTCTGAGAGCTTTCTAATGAGGACCCACAACATCAGGACAGAGGAGGTTCTGAAAGGGAGGGACGGGGACAGAGCTGCTCGCTGGTCACACAGGAGTCCCTCTGAGGAATCACCACAGTGCCTCTGTCTCAGATCACCAGGCCCACGGCAGGGGATAACATGCTTTGCAGTCCTGTTTAGGGCCAGCTGCTGTTGGCTGGAGGACTGAGCGGAGCAAGACCCAGAAGATGCTGAGTAATGACAGCTCTCATGTGTATAGTCAGGTTGTCAGGCCTGGCGTGGAGGACCAGAAATGACATTAATGCTAGACCACTTGAATCTGATGTCTAAGTAGCGGAATATCACCAACAGCCCTGCTGTATGCTGGAGGCCAAGGATGCGAAGCTGCACGCCCAGCTGGCAGGATGGTCTAGGAAAGGACACAGCGAACTGAGAGAGCTGAGAAGGGAGGCCGGAGGCTGGGCGGCCCCAGCCTGGGGGTCCCGATAGCTCCTGGAAAGGACTTTGGATCCCATAGAGAAAGACTGCCGCAGTGTGCTGGGAAGGCTGGAGGAGAAAGCTTTTATCCAGACAAGTCTGTGAACTCAGCTGGTTCCAGCTAGGGCCCACGGCTTGGGCAGCATTAGCAGGTACCCGCCGCTGGACGGGGCCAGTCTCCCCTTCAGGGTCCAGTCTGTCACCTTTGGGCTGTGCCACTCCCTGTGTCTCACCCAGACTGTAAGCCAGGTGCTAATGAAGAGCTTCCTCTTGAAGCTGGATAAGCAGGCTTCCTCGGAACCTGATCCCCGCCCCCCAGAGGACAGTCTGGCTGGCCTGTTCCCTGCAGTGAAGCAGAGCTCTCTGAAAGGTGCTCAGCCTGTGCTTCAGGGAGACCACGCTGTGGGCCTCTGTTCTGTCAGATCTAAACCAGTCATACAGAGGGGGGGGGGGGGGGGGGGGGGGGGGGCGGGATATTCCCACAAAGCCTGGGTGCTATTTTGCAAAGATGTATTTTCTGTGTATGAGTGTTGTGTCTGATACGTGTGAAACACACACACGTGACTGCAGAGGTCAGATCCATGAGAGCAGGGGTTATGGACCTTGTGGGAACTGAACTTGGGCCCTCTCCAAACCGGCGCTCTCAACCGGAGCCATCTCTCCAGCAGGGCTATGAGGAACTTCCCTAAAAAGTAAACTCACAACGCTTAGGAATTTCACTAGTCTGTGGAAACAGCAGCTGCAGCTCTTAGTGTTGAGGAGAGGAGTGGCAGCTGCTGTGTTCCCAGTTACAATTCAAAGCTCAGTTTGTGACACTTCAGACTGAGGCACCACGGGCTGAGGGTCCAGCAGAGTCTGTGAGACACGGCTCTGACGCAAAGCTGACGCAAAGCCGGTTCCCAGGGAGAAGGTGACGTGCTGGAGGGCTGCTGGCAGCGAGGGCAAACCCCGTAAGCACCGGACTCTTCACTACACCCCAACACACACCGGCTCGTGTGAGCCGCAGAGGCTCCGTCTGCAGCACTGTGAAAAGAGCAGGTTTGTCAAGCGACCCGGGGCCACCAGAAGCAGCCCTCATCTGGTGTGTAACGGGCCCTCACCTCACTCACAGCTACAGTGGGCTGTCTGACCAAAGGGGAGCCAGAAGCGGGAGTCCCCGCACACTAGCTCAGGGACTGGGCAGCTGGCGTGCCCAGCAGCCCCTGCAGCTCCTCCAGAACGCTCCCACGTTGCCCAGGGCTGGTTGTGTTCTAGGTACCAACAGGGAGCCGATTCTCCAGTCTGCTGGCACAGAACGATCAAGCGCTGTGCTGGAGGGCCTGGCACCAGTGAGTCACGAGCAGGCCTGAGCCCTCGCTGCTGACCAGGCCTGGCTGCCTGCTCTGTCACTGAGCCACCCCACCCCAAGCCCCTGGTGTAATTCTGATCTGATGGAGCCCAGGGTCTCGTGACCTATGTTACACCCGCCACCTACCTTCTGAGCCACAGGTCCCGTGGGGGAGCTCATTTACACTAGAAAAAGCCAGCGCACCATTGGCATCCTGACGGAAGCGTGCCTATAGTTTTCTTTGTATATTTGGTTCTAAACACATCAGTGGTAAGAAAGCCCACTTTGGCCAGGTAAAACTTATGTCTCACTGCTCAGTGTGGCCTGCATGGTGTGGGCAGAAAACTTAAGGGTGACCCAGCCACCTGGTGCATCACACCTGAGGGTGACGCGGTTAGTAGGCCACAGCCAGCCTCGGCCACACAGCAAGGCTGAGGCCAACCTGGGCTACTTGAGACCCTTCTCAAAAAGAACAAAACCACCAACCCTGAAAGCAACAGGACAGTAGTAACACTGGTGACAATGCCGAGTGAGCAACGGCACGGCCTCGTGCTCCACTGTAGCCGTCCTGTGACACTCGGTCCCCTCAGCCACTCACAGCAGCCTTGAGGCTGGTTTTAGGGCGACTCCCCCCAGCCGAGGTCGTGTTCCTAGGACATGGGGAGGTCCCGCCCAGGCAGAGGTGCCACCCTGGGCTGTGGTCCTGGGCTCCCCCAGAGCAGGCCGGTGAGCAGCACCCACACGGCTTCTGCTTCAGCTCCGGCCTCCAGGTTCTGGCCTGCTGGAGTTCCTCCCTTGGTTGTGTCAGTGGAATGAGATTCAGGGTAAATGAGCCAAGTAAACTTTCCCCAGTTGCCCATGCTCACGGTGTTTCATCACCAAAAGTCCTATGCCACAGTGAGTACATTCCCTAAGGTCTCCCGCTCAGCTCAAGTCTCAGTGTGGGCAGCTTGGCCCTCAGCCTCCCACACAGTACTCATTCCGAACTAAGAAAAAGCAGCTCCGCCCTTGAGCCATGCTTCCTAGTACTCACATTACCATACTGGGAAACGGGCGTATTTCCTAACTAGCATGTTTATCTTCTTAAAATTATTTTCGTTCTTAGTGTCAAAATTATAAACACAATCCTCTCCCTGAGCAACAACTCAAGGTTGACACAAAAATGCAGTGCGCACCGTACCGAGCACAAAGCCCGCGTGTCCTGCGTCTACTGGACGCACGGGGTCATTCACAGCCACTTCACATGCTCAACTATCAGGACCTGCTTTTACACTGTTTCCTCTCCACATCTGCACTGGGGGAGGGGGAGACCGCAGTACACGAAATCCAGGAGTTTATAACCACAACTAGCAACAATCCTTTAATAACACAAAATTCGGGAAGGCCAAAAAAGAAATTGGTGGCTTACTAGATTCTTTCTTTCTGGAGAATTCTTCAGTGAAGCAGTGTTAAAGAGACCTGAACTCACCGCCACATCAGCTGCTTAAGTGTGGTGGCACACCTTTAATGCCAGCACTCAGGCGGCAGAGGCAGTCTGTTAAGAGGCTGGCCTGGTCTACCTGCCGGGACAGCCAGAGCTACACAGAGATCCTGTCTTGGAAACAAAGGAGGTGCTTTTTCTGGGTGCTAATTGGGCTGGTGACGGAGTGAGTGGGGTCCTTGGCCTTGGTTCAACCTCTGGCATTTACGCCATTCACCCCCAACTTTTTCATCTTTGGTTTTTAGTCACTGGAAAGAACTGAATTAGAATGGAGAAATCTAGCCTAATTCAGTCATTCTGCAGAGACTAGAGTCTGACCCCACAGACAGACAGGACGACTCACTGCAGAGGCCAAAGTCTAACACCGACTCAGCTCTTTCCATCTGGCAGAGCACAGCGGGCCCCACACGGGTCTTCCTGGCATCGGGCAGGCGTCCCCAGGGGCTGACCCAGTGCAGACTGCGAAGCTGGGTGGCTCTGGGATGCCACTTACAGTGGGCACAGCAGCCCTGCACGTGCTATGACAAGCAGAATTCGCTCTGCGGGGCAATAGCTCATAAAGCAAAGTGACCTCAGGAGAACCCACGTCGGCAATCACTCCTCAATCCCAGAGGTAACGGGACAGGAAACAGAAACAAACCCCCAAACACCATAAAGAAAAAAGTCAAGTCCTCTTATGAATCAGTATGACTTTGAAGAGAAAAAAAGTAAAACACAAGCAAAGACATTAAGGGATTTATTTGCACAGGGAAATGTGTTTCCCCACAGCCCACACCCTTGGTAGCTGTACCCAGGGCTTTTCTGGCTAGCCTTGAACCTGCTCCCTGAGCATCCCCGATGAGATTACGTCACGGATATGGCTGTCCAGACATCAGTTGTAGAGCCAACACCTCCTCCAGCAGACGCCAGAGGGAAGGAGCACACCGAACACGGAGACTCATGCGAGCGACTTCTCTGAGAGACAGTAAAAATCTACATACAGTCACGCGTTACAAAAACAATGCGCTATCACCTCTACCTTCTCTAGGCAGCTGCTTTGCGGTCAAAGTGAACACAAACAGCTAACGCTGCTCCAGGGCAGGAGGCGGAGAAGCAGCAAGAGGCTCCCACAGTCCGCGAGGCAGGTGCTGTAGCCGTCTAAGCCCCAGTGCATGGCCGGATAAGACTTCCCACTGCCACGTCAGAAGTCCAGGGCTGGGCCGGGGAGCACGACAGTTTGGCAGGGACACAGTCAAATATGCCAACGATCTGTGACTGTTCATGAAAGAAGAGCTCAGCAACCAGAGGAAAATGACACAACTAACACACGAGGTGTGGGACAGATGAAGAATGCAATCTTCTGGCTGCGAGCCAGGCCACTCTTAAAGTCAACTTTTAAGAAAAAAAGAGTCTTCAGAAGTCAGTGAGCCCTGTATCTCACACTGTAACATTTACACTGAACGCACATCCAGACACAGATTTTCCCTGCGGTCCGATGGCTGTGCAGTGTGCTTGTGGCACGGTTAGAAGCGGGTGTAGGCACTGCGCGGCTGCGGCTGCGGCTGCAGAGGCTGCTGGGCTTGCTGCTGCTGCAGGCGGATCTGCTGGGAATAGGGGTCTTCTAGGGATTTGACAAACATGGTAGTTCTGGGGCCAGTCTTCCAGACGATGCCATTGGCGTCTCTCACCGAGGACTCCACGGTGATGCTGTGCGTCCCGAGGACAGCGAAGTTCAGCAGGAACTGCGTGCTGAAGTAGTCGTTGTGCGGCTCCACCCTCTGCTCCATCTCATTGGTCACGCTGTCGAGGGGGATCTGGAAGACAGTGTTGTCAGCAGAGCCCTATGCAGGGCTCTCGAGGGCCAGGTCCTGTCTAGGCTGGGAGAGGCCTGCCCACCGGGATGAGCTGTGTGGACTCCCATGCCCATGCCCGGCCACAGCCCAGACCACTCGAGCGCTGGGGTCCTGTCAACAGTCCACAGCCCATCGTTCACATAACCACACACCTCAGAGTGCCTTTGTCACTACCCAGAGAAAGGCAGGGAAGAGACTGGAGGCCGAGCGTGCCAGAAGCAGCACTTGGTGAGAGGACACCGGCAAAGAAAAGAGTGATGGTGCCGACCCATCCTTCCCTCAGCTTTTTAGCCTAAAACCATGATGCCAATGAAATGCTGTCTGTTTGTGTATGCACACACTCTTGAACACATTATATACTTGCCAGTATGGGTATATGCACGTGGGCACGCAAATGTGTGTCTGTGCGCGCATATACAGACATGTCTGCACATAGAGCAGAGGCCAGAGGTCAATGCTGGTTGTTTTTCCTCAACCATGCTCCAGTTCTTGAGACAGTCTCAGTGAACCTGGCTCTCATGGATTTATTTGGCCAGGGTGGCTGATCTACACATCTTCACCCAATCCCCTAGGGTCAACTTTGTACTTGGGTTTTGGGGAGTCGAACCCAGATCCTCACACTTGCAAGAAGGCACTTTACCCACTGAGCATTCCCCACCAGCCCTTGGAAACCTTCATCCCATCTCCTGTTACACAGACTTAGTTCAAACACACCAGAGTAACCTGGGCAGGTCCTGTGGATTAAATCACTGTAAAACTGGAAATGTCTAAGCGGTACTGCAGAGGCACATACGCAATACCCTGATTTGGACAGGAGCATCAATCTGACTGGTGCTAACACTTACCTACCTCAGGACACCTAGAGGATGGGACTCCCCAAGGCTCCCTTGGGATGAGGTGACAGGCCTGCCCTGCACACACTGCACTATGGGAGGCTGCGTGAGCAGCTGGAACCTGAGATGGCTCCAGAGTAGCGTCTCACCGACAGGGTTTCAGGGCAAGAAGCAGGTGGGAGGCGCTGGGCCCCTTTGCTTTCCTGCTAGGAGCACAGGGCCAGGCTCTCTGAATCACACGGGTGGGGTGGGGGCAATCAGAGGCACAGGCTCACACAGCTTTTGCTGAGTGGCCCACAGCTAGGCGCCACACCGTGTGCAGAGCCACAGGATTTGTACTGATCTCTGCTGGGACGCTCTGTCTGCTGGGATGCTCTGTTTGTCTGCTGGGATGCTCTGTCTGTCTGTCTGCTGGGATGCTCTGTCTGCTGACCCAAGCAAAGAAGAAAACTGACCAACAGTCTCCCCAAGGTCCAGCTGTGCTGCTGAGTTATAACCCCTGATCCTTGTGGAAGACCCTCACAGACGCCGCACGAGCACGGAGCATGTGTCCCACCTGGAGCCAGAACCCTGCACAGCACTGCCTTGTGTGAGTTACCTTGTAGTCTTGGCTGGATTTACTCTGTAGTGTGGAAGACACATTTAGACACACAGACTGAATTCTGCGGAAGAGTCCTGGTTTAGACCCATGCTGGACCACGCCTTCTACCTTTAATGCCAGCTGTTGGTTGTTCTGTACAGCAATGGGCTCTGCAGGGTTCCGGGGAGAAGGAGACAGAGCAAGCTGGAATAGAAAAGTAAGGTTAGCGCTGGCAACCCAAGCAAACCTTCCTTCCACAGACCCAGCAGCGTGCCTCACGGGAAACAGGCGGACACACTCCCGTGACTGTCCCTGGCAGCAAGCTGGACCCACGACCCACTGAGCTTGGCACCACCCTGCAGAGGGACCTCCACAGCACATGTGTGCAGGACAGAGACATCTTGTAGCTGTTCTCTTCTACCACGTGGCCTGGGGACTGAACTGGTGCCCGGCGCCGTCACTCAGCACGCCACCTCTGCAGCCCCCCCGGCTGGTCTTAAATCTATTTGATTAAACTTAAATGTGTTTTCTGCCTTACCTTGATGCTGGTGGACTGCAGCTTTTGGAAGAAGTACCTCTGAAAGGAGAGAGGGACTTTCAGCAAGGCGACGATGGCATTGCAGAGGCAGGCTGTGTGCTGGGGGGAGACAGGTCAGCTGAAAGAAGCCCCGCAAACTTCCCACCGTTTTCAAGAGCACACTCCACTCGGCCGGAAGGCACAACTACACGGAACACAGCCATGCATGTCAAGAGATGCAGTCAGTAGCAAACGCACTGGCTGCCCCTCCGGAGGTCATGGGCTCCACTCCCAGCTCACGCAGTAGCTTACAACCCTGTGAGCAGGGCATCTGACACCTTCTCTGCTTCCTCAGGTACCAGGCACACACATGCCACACAAAGAAACATCCAGTCAACACACACACACAACAAAATTTAAAAAAGAATTGCAATCAAAGATTTCTATTTCATTTTCTTCATTTTTAAAAAAATTAGATTTACTAATTTATTTTCTGTGTGTTTTCAACCCTGGCAGCATGACAGAATCATGGACACTGTCCTTTGTCTTCCGGCAGGATTATGCTTTAACTGAGCCCACAGAAGCTGAAAGTACTGAAAGCCCACCCTGTATCAACACGTGTGAATATACTGAACACAGCTGACATCAGCCACCTTAAAGATGCCCAAGACACTTATTTTAGCCACTGTCTGGACAAAACCAGTCATCTACCAGGACGCCTGTTTTATAATGAGGTAGTACTCTGTGCCCTTTACTCAAGACTGTACTATAATGAAATGGGCTGCGCTTACTCTGAAACATTTGCTATCCCTAACTCTGTGAGGCTCAAAGCTCCAACTCCTGCTATTGGTGCACGGGTGCCAGGCCTGTGTGCCAGACTTACAGTCATCTGTCTTTGGGGGGACGGTCAGGGAGAAAATGACTGGTTACTGACATAGTTTTAAAGCTGGTCTGGAGTGAGAGTAATGAGTCACTGCGGCTTCAGCTGATGGTTTAAAAAGCCGGTCTGCACCTACATGAGCAAGCTCTACTAAGTTAGTGTGACCACGACCACGCAGTCAGGAGACGGTGTGTTGACCCTAACCCTGAGATGTGATGGGCAAGTGCATAAAGATGTGCTCAACAGTCAAGACGTGAGGACAGCGAGAGGCTCTGCAGCGTCAGAATGGCAGCTCCGACCACACAGGCCCACTGACAGCTACAGACCCTGGGTGTCCTAGCCGCCTTGGGTCAAGTTTTCAGAAAAAATAAAGTGCCAGAGGTGTATTTTAAAAATCCCCCTCCCCAATGAAAAGAACGCATAAAATGAATCTACTTGCCATGTAGGAAACGGGGGCGTATTTCCGGTTGAGCGACCCCACCTCCTCTAGGACACGACTGCACACGGTCATCATCCTTCTCTCGTACTCGCTGTCGGCGTGGGCGGCTCCCGTGCACCCGTACTCCTGGAAGCTGAGGTAGAGACCAGCACAGCTAGTCCACCTGAGCAGTGATCCCTCCCACACTCCATGCACGTCTAAGAATGTCACGGCCCGCTTCATCTTTTACAAAGTTCTTCTACTCACAGACAAGGTTAATCTGTCTACAGTCATGTCACCATAAGCAACAAACTGGAATTTAACCCCAAATCTGACTACAAATTGTTAACTACTCGCAAATACTCCTGTGTATTTGTCAGCACACAGGAAGGCAGCACCGGAGAAGGGGCCAGTGGGCAACATCTTTACATGACATCACAGAATCAACAAGGCTAACAAATCACCAGCTCAGCGCCCCATCACGCGTGGAGGGATGGTGTGAATGCAGAGTGAAAAGCACCGAGATGAGCAGGGGCTGCTGGGACAGAGCATGCTAGAAAACAGCCTAGATGCTTGCCTGCTGCCGGGGAGGAAGGAATTGTGCCTCTGGTGCACGGCCATGCCTCACTGGGAGCTGACAGTGGTAACACACTTGTGCTCACATCTGCCTGACTCCAGGGTTCTGTTCCACACTATATGCAGCGAGTGGGAGAAGAGCTGTGCAGCTGAGTCTGACACCCTCACGGAGACGACAGAGATCTAGGCCAGAGGCCACTCGGGGAGCCAAGGCTGCACGAAGACAGGCTTCCCTGGCTTCAGACAGGGTGACCGCGGTGCGGTACTCCACACACTGCTCTCCCGCTCTTCCTTAACGAGTACAACTGTTCTGAGCAATTAGTTGTTGGGGGAAGGGAAAGAATATTAATAAAGCAAATGAGGAGTAGCTTTGGGTTTGGGAAACCAGAAACTCAAGTTTAGCTTGGAGTTACTAACTAAATTTCCCTACCAAAGCTTAATCATACAAGAAAGTGCTCTATTTAAACAATCCTTTCTCAGTCGTCTTTCTAGGTCAATGATGTGCATGCAGAGGGAAGAGCACCCGCCACATCTTTTTATCCTAGCCCCGTGACCCGAGGCAACCAGGAAGAACACTTTGGTTTTCTTTTCTTTCCAGGACACTGTTGCGACAATCAGGTAAGAGCTTTTGAAACTTTATAAAGAAAGTGTGATTCAACTTACTTTGCTGATTCTGGGTCCAGAACCAGGGCTTCTATGGCATGGGCTACCAGCAGGCAGCTCTGCTGCTGTCTGGCATGTTAAGGTCACATGTGTAAGCCTGAGGCCATTTCCTGTCTGAGTACCGACAGTCAGCCCTTTTACAGTCTGCGTCCCCCCCCCCCCCCCCCCCCCCCCCCCCCCCCCCCCCCCCCCCCGCCCCCCCCCCCCCCCCCCCCCCCCCGTGCACGCTCATGAGGGATGCACACTGTTTAGATTTACATCCTGTCCCAGGCAGGATGTTTCAGGACCCCGTACAAAACCATCAACTCCCCTTTAAGTTGCTTTCATAAAATCTGAGAACCGGACATGGTGGCACACACCTTTGATTCCAGTACTCAGAAGGATCTCTGAGTTCGAGGCCAGCCTGGTCCTAGGACAGCCAGGAATACACAGAGACCTTGCCTTAAAACACCAAAAAGAAATAGAAAAATCAATTTTTTTCAGAAATTGCCAAGAAGGGCTCTGAACATAAAATTTTCCTGCCTCAGCCTCCCACGTGGCTAGGGCCACAGGCACGCTCCTTCATGCCCCACGGCACCTCTGCTGATTTTCACCTTAGGTACAGCAATACCTCATGGGAGTTACAAACAAGGAAACAACTAAGTTTCATTGACACAGGGAAGGAAGGAGGGAGGAGAGAGGAAGAGAAGGGGTGAAGGGACAAGGAGGAGGAAGAGAGGGTAACCAGCTGCGGAAATTTCTTTGGCTGGCTCCTCAGCTGTGACTCAGGCAGTCTGCCTACCCTGCTGTTTTGTGCAGACACAAAGCTGCATGCACAGTCGCCTGCATGCACACACCTGTATGGTAGCACACCCAGAGCATTCACTAGGCTTCAATCAGTCGACAAACAAAAACTCCAAGAACCTACCCACAAGCCTGACAGCCTCAGAGCAGCGAGACTGGAAGGTGCTAATAAGAAATACAGATAGCTTCAGGGGGTTGAGGGACAGTTGTAGCAGTGCCCAGAAGAAGGGCTGGAGCTAAGATGCTTTGATGCCAGCACTTGGGAAGCAGAAGCAGGCAGATCTGAGTTTCAGGCCAGCCAGGTCTATATAGTGTGTTACAGGATAGCCAGGAATACACAGGGGAACCCTGTCTTGAAAAACTAAAACGAAAGAGAGAGAAAAAAAAAAGCAATTTTGCTCCTCCTAAATTTCAAAGGAGGAAATCACTAAATATGAGGATTTTTTAATCTGTGTTTTTAGTTGAACAAATTTACTCTAAATAACAGAGAAGGCTTCCCAAGAACAATGAATTCTGAGCAATACAGGATACAGCTCTACGTTCCTCAGAGTTGCTGAGTCAGCATCAAAGGAAGCCTGATAGAGATCTCGGTACCGGGAAGCAAGGCTTCGGAATTCGTCCATGGACTGCTTCATCTACAAAGAAGGGAAAAACTCAAATTAAAGAACAGAAAACTCGACCTCGATAACAGTTCAAGTAAAAGTTGAGTTGTCCTTTTCATACCTTTATCACATTAAATCAACAGAGATGGCTAATGAAATTATCAGTGTTCACAGGGCTTAGTAATTTACTTATGCTATCTAGAAAGACACCTGCATTTTAGTGTCTGAAAGTCTTACTAAGGTACCTAACACTGTTACAGATGTTTCCAGCTGTTCAGTGTCATTCCGTTCTTGCTGTATAATACATAGCACTGGGGCTATTGAAATAACATAGCATTCAATTTAGCTATACAGGTGAGTAGGTATTTGACACAAACCATTGATTTTAATTTGTACAACCTTTCTCTTCACAATATCCACGATGGGGAGAAATTGAGACATGCCTGATTGGAGATCCGGCCGCACCTCTGAAGATCATTTCCTAAGGTCATGGCGATTGTTGTGGCGATGGCAGGGGGAGGGCTTGTCTTCAGGCTGTTACAAGTACAAATGAGTTGCGAGAAGGCTTGGAGAAGATCAATCCTGAGTTTTACAAATTCACACTGAAAGCTTAGAGGATTCAGTGGTGTGCTGGCGGCCTGGAATAAAGAAAGAGGTTTTACACTGAGTAACCTGCCTCTTTTGATTCAACCAAGCCTAATTAAAAACTGCTCAGGAAAACAATGCACTGAGGACTTGGTTTTGTTGGACTTTTTGGAGCTCTGCCATCTCAGGTCCTTCTAGCCATCCCTTCACTTTTCCACAATACTCCCTACACTTTGCCCAATGCTTGGCTACGAGTCTCTGAGGGGAAGAGGACCCACTCAGTCCTGATGCGGCTTGACAAGCTCCCCTTTCCTGAGGGGTAGGGAAGGGAGCAGGGGGGAAAAGTGAATAAATATTTTCATATTGCTTTTATTAATGCCCTAATAAATGCCTTAAAAACTACATGAACGGAATGTGAACAGACCGCGTCCCGTCTCTTCTCCATAAAACATCTCAGGCTGCTTTAGCACAACATGGCAGCACACAGCAGTTACGGGCCACGAGGACTGTACATCACCTGGCATGATCTAAAGCACACGGAGAGTGCGTGGAGTGTATGTAAAGCTGAACCTTTCTTCGCAATGGGCACTTGCGCACCCAAGGATTGGGACAGCTATGCCACCCTATGTGTCTTGGAATCCATCTTCCTGGAAGCCACAGAGGATGCCTTGTCAGTTTATGCACAAGTCATAACATGGACAGGTAAACACCTAAACCGCCATGAGAACCACGTGACCTCAGAGCTCACTGTTGGTAGCCTGAAAACCTGAACATGGTGCTGACATTCAGCGGTTCCTCACTGCCTACATGGAGCCCATCACTTGCCAAGCAGTGAGACACCACAGGCGGCTGTACGGGCAGGGTCATCTCCCTACTCCTGACCCTTCCTACCTCCCTAATCTGCACTTTCTGTCGCCACTGCTAACTGTGGGCTGTGAGGAAAAGAAGACAAAGCAGGAGAAACATGTTTCTAGATAGGTCCATGCGCCAAAGCTGCCTTCTACTGCACAGTATCTTGAGTTTCCGAGCTGGCGCTGCAGAAAAAGAGAACATCAGAGATGGATGATCACACACAAAGGTTCTGAAGGATGGAAGCACGAGAGAGAAGTTTCCAAGAGCAGGGAAGAAGCCGTTCACAGCGGACAGTGGACTAAGTCCCAGCAGCACAGCAGAGAACTACCACAACCTCCAACTGTCCGCAACATCCTAGTAGAGAAGCCAGCAATCTATTTTCAATAAAAAGCACACACTGAAACTATGCTAATCTAGCAGCAGATGGATGCCAGGTGGACCAGCATTTCTCTGTAAGATGGCTGCTGCAGATACACTGGTGTGGCTTCTTAGTACCATCTCACGGTATTCTATCAGAGGGAAGCAGGGAATGTGAGCTGGCTTCTAGGAGTCGGTTACACACGCCCATCCGGCCAGGCTGCACACGCCATCCTCTGTGGCGCACCTGCTTTGTAACTGACCAGCAGAATGTATACAGCTGCTCCTGATCCTCCACAGAAGCACCATTTGCTTGCACCATCTCCTACTACAAGCCTTGAAGCACTGTGTATGCTGGAGAAATATCAACTATGCTCAGTATTTGACTGTACTGACTTTTAAATTTTTCTTTATTTAATGTATGAATGTTCTGTGTGCATATATGTGGCAGGCCAGGAGAGGGCATCAGACCCCATTGTAGATGGCTGTGAGCCACCATGTGGTTGCTGGGAATTGAACTCAGGACCTCTGGAAGAACAGCCCGTGCTCTTAACCTCTGAGCCATCTCTCATGGCAGTCCCCATGTTAACTTTTTTATCCTTTCAATACTTTAACTATGAAACAGCTCATATTTAAGACACTAAAGAGACTATTTCAATTGTTTTTAAGGTCAGGTTTGATTTGCTCTTGTAGGAAGATGGAAGGAGATAGTTCTCTTCCCTCTGCCTCTTCAGCTGTTACTTGCCATTTCTAACGTGTATCTCTGGGCTGGAGAGAGGATTCAGGGATCAGCAGCACTGGCTGCTCTTCCACATGACCCAGGTGCATCCCCGGCACCGATGTGGCAGCTCAGAACGACCTGTACCTCCAGCTTCCGGGGGCTCTGACACCCTCTTTTTACTTCCTTAGGCATGCCTGGGATCCAGAGGCACACATGCAGGCTAAACATGCAAAATAGAAGTAAGTTTAATTTGAAATGAATATTTTAAATTAGTGTGTGTGTCTACCATGTATGTGTCAGTACCCACTGAGGTCAGTACAGGGATTTAGCTGCCCTGGGTCACAGGAAATTGAGTCACCTGATGTGGGAGCTAGGAGACAAGCCTGGGCCCTCTAGCGGGGCAGCTCTCTCACCTCTACTCACTATTTTCAACTTACTGTTTGTTACCAATTTTAGAAGAGACGGGAGTACAAGTAAGTGTATATGACAGGGCTACATAATTGAAAAGCGAAAGGCCCGGGCATTAACATTCTAACACGATCGCTAAAACATGAGAGGAAGAAGCTGGGAAGGCCCGACTGATGACCTGAGGTGATGAGCTTGTGTGTTACAGAGAGGGAAAAGCAGCGTTAGTATAGAACCCAGCAAAGACCAGTGTGTGTCATGGCCAATGTTAACAGGTCACAGTTCCTAAAAGACGGGCGGGGGTGGAGTGTCGGGAGACACAGCCTACACTGTGTGAGTCTGCCAGTGTCACAGAGAGACAGAGACATCATTTACTCTTCTCAACTCTGGGCTAACGCTCAGACAGGCTCTCAGGCTAGCAGAGACAGAGAACGCCCGCCATCAATAGTCAGAATCGCACAGTCCCAGGAAAAGGAAAAACAAAGTTCCTTTCTGGAAAAGCAGTCCTAACCCACCTCAGTGGCTACATTCCACTCCACTGCTTTTTTCAGGCCTTTCCCCCTAAACAGTCATATTTGTGTTAGATATAATTAGACTAAAATAGAAAAAAAAAACTGATAAAGGCATGAAAATGGATGGATAAAAACAGTAACAAAGTTGTCATCTTAGCTACTTTTAAGTATGTGCTTGGTTGTGTAAGCACAGTCACCCTTCTTATACTGCAGAACTGAAACTGTATTCACACCCAGACCTATCCCTGCCTCGGGACCGGGCATACCGTCTCACTTTCTCGCTCTGTGAATTAGAGTATGTGCTCCTATCCCACCCACTGCAAAAAAGGGTAGAGCCAGGGCTGGGCACCTGCCAGGCCGAGTCTCAGACCTAGCGCCTACACACGCACAATCTTCCTTTCTAGGAAGCAAGAACCCGCTATTATAAAGCATTACACTGGGAATTAAACACTGCGCTGCTATTGGCACACACATAGGGACATAATAAACACAAAATTTTGAATCCTTCTCACTTCTCTCTTGTTTTTGTAATGTGCTGAATACATTTCAGAAGGAGAAAAACTGCAGCCCAAAGCCCTACCTCAGGGACACTGAATCCACAAAGTCCAGTCTACGACAAAGGAGCTCATGCATAAAACCGGAAGAGTGCTAAATGTTCAACAGATTCTTCATAAAACCACTTCTATCTGCCTCACTTAATGTGAATCTATCTGCCTAGCAGATTAAAAAAAATATTTTTCTGTAACCAAGGGTTTTGTCAGTAGGCACTGGACCCACTGGAAAGGAAGTGCCAGGGCTGGAGCCACTGTGAGTGCTGGGAACCAGAGCGAGATCCCCTGGAAGACCTGCCAGGCTGAGCACCACACCACTCCATTTACCATTGAACGATTATTTCCCATTCTACATAAACTAGAAAACCAAATAATTTTACTACCCCAACCTGTAATCTCACCTTTAAAATTTCTATGATTTATTAGCCTGACAACCTAAGCCTAACAACCCTTCCTTTTCTAGAACGATCAATGCTGCCCTTTAAAATGGAAGTGGGCTGGAGAGGCTGCTCAGAGATTAGCCTGAACTTCAGGGTTGTGAGGGGTGAGATGGATCTTTATGTATTCTTGTTTTAAATATCTGTCCATTAGTTCTAGTATGATTTCAAATGTACCACAGTTGTCTGCATAGCTAGTCTCTCTATGACATCCATTCTTAGTTTCATTCGGAACACTGCTTTTGGAATGGCCTGGCCTTAATAATATTTAAAATGTTATAAACATATGCAAACAGGCCCCAGCTCAACACATACAATTCTTTTAGTTGGGTAACAATACTTTAAAAATGTTTAATGCTGAGTGCATAACCTCTTCACATTCAAAGAAGAAAGACCTTTTGACTAATAAAAAAAATGCTCTTTTTAGGGATTAAGTTCTTATTTAGGGATGCAACTCATTTCAAGAAACTGGTAAAAATGTCAAGAAATAAGATATATTAAGGGTTTCCTCTCTGCAATCCTTTCCTGGCACAGTAAGAATTGTATGCGACTGACTGTTGTTTCGGAAAGCACAGAGGGTTAAACAGGGGCACATTAGGACTTTCTTAGTATAAAGCAGTGGCTTTCAACCTGTGGGTCATGACCCCTTTGGGGGTCAAATGACTCTTTCACAGGAGCCTCTTAAGACCACAGAAAACACAGATATTTACATTTTATGATTCAAAACAGTAGCAAAATTAGTTATGAAGTAGCAATGAAAATGATTTCATGGTTAGGGTCACCCCAACATGAGGACCATATTAAAGGGTCACAGTATCAGGAAGTTATTATGAAGTAAGCGTTCCTGGGGATGCTGTGACAGAGTATCCACCCAGCGTGCAGATGGCTCCAGGTTCAATCCTCAGCACCTACAGAACACCCTGCAAAAACCTCTCTGGGCGAGCAGCCGGACAGGAGGGAGGAGAGGGGCCTTTGCTTGATGGAGGCACTGTCCCAGCTAGCATCCTACCAGCTAAGAATCGGCAGGAAGAAGCTCGTCAGCCTAAGAATGCTGACAAGAGTTTTATTTCCGTGTGTATGTGTTATCTGACGTTGTGACAGGTATCACAAACTGTCAAAGTGAGAGGAGAGCACCTCACACCAATCACGACTGGGAGAGGACTCACCGTTAAGGAGGCGATCCCTTTGTGGTAACATTTCAAAGACTCAGCAATGCAAGAAAGTGCTGAGCTGAAGCTGTCCTCCTGCAGCCCAGTCAGACATTGCTCCGCGTGTGAGAACTCCTTCAGACTATTCAGCCAGAAGTAGAAGTGCTCTGATGCCACCTGCGTCAGCAAACTCTGGTAGAGCTCTTGGGCCATGTCATGGTTGCCCTGAGAGAGAGAGTTCAAGGTGAGGCTCCACAATGAGCAAATCAAAGACAAACCCAGAGCCAGCCCCGTCCCCCATCGCCTATTACGAAAGGCCTTGAGGCAGTCTAAGCATTTCTTCAGAAAAACAGAATGAATGCCTCAGTTCTCTACTAAAACAGTTCCCACAAGAAATTAAGTAGAGCGAGTGTAAGCCAGGGCAGAATTTTAGTGTAAAACACACACTGTAAGCCTGTGTGCATCACTTTGCAGGCGCTTGTCAGGAGGTAGAGGGAGTCCAGGGGCAGAGCACCACGAGGCAGAGGCGCACAGGCTCCTGCAGTGCCAGCATGGCATGCTGTGCACGGAGCGGTCCAGCCCAGGGCCCCCTGTGGGAGATGACACAGTGGCACCTTCCCCAGCGGAGCCTGGCTCCTCACACACTATTCTCTGGACCAAAGCTCCAGGTTTCTGTACTAACTACACTTTGTATTTCTTACAGAAATCCAATGATCAGGTTGGAGAAAGAATGAGAAGAAAAGTGTGTGCTGAAAATAACGACAGAGAAAGCCTGTGGGAAGCGGCCCTGGGTAAAGCAGAAGTCATGCTAACTCTGCCCGGACTCACACAGCCACCAGTTATTATTCCACTGACAAGCAGAACACAGTAACCTCTCAAGAGGAAAGTTAACCTCGGTCGTCTCCTTCGCCACCCTCAGAGCCCATAAGTAGCAAGCAATTCTCGAGAATGGATGGCCCCACGGGCTCATGTCTGAGTGCTGAGTCCCCAAGGAGTGGAGCTGCTTGAGGAGGTTACGAGGATGACAAGGTGTGGCCTTACTGGCATAGATATATCAGTGGGGTGGTCTAGAAAGTCATGGCAGGCTCAGGGTCTCTCAGCCTGCTGCCTGTGGGTCGGGATATAAAACTCTCAGACACTTCCTGAGTACCTTCCTGTCTGCAGCCACACCTTCTGCCATCATGATAACAGCCTAACCTTCTGAAACCACCAGGAAGCTCCAATTACATGCTTTCCTTTTAAAAGGGCCATGATATGCCTGAGACAGCTTCCTCCTGTGCTGTGGGCTCTGACTGCGAGCACATCCAGTAAGATGTGTGCCCTGACGTCCCACCAAGCACCTCCACTCGGGAGGGAAGCCATACCATTCTGGAAGCCTGCCGGGCAATCCGGTACACAGTCCACCCACTGGAGACACTCTCCAGCTGCTGCTTGATGACTGCCTTCACCTCCGCAGACAAGGCTTTCTGGCTCGCTACAAAAATCACAGTAGCCAAACTTACCTAACAAGTAAAACAGATATGTTAAAGACCAAGGTAAAAATGAAAGATTAAGCGTATCAGGCCAGGGAGACGGCCCAGCAGGTAACCATGGCCAAGCCTGCCGACCCCGGTGCAACAGCTCAGAGCTACACAGTGGAGGAGAGCTGGCTTCCTAAAGCTGTCCTCGGAGCTTGAGTGTGCACACCGATGCAAAACACTACATAAGCACGAGAAAAAGGAGCAAAATGGGTTCTCTGTTGTCATTTTATTTATCACTTTCAAGTCTTAAGCAATTCATTTTTTAACTCAGAGCACTGCTTGTAAAGTAAGTAATTAGAGAAAATGAACATAGCTAAGGACAAATGAATTTTGATCAGATCACACAGTGAGATACACCAGTGGAATCAGAGATCAATATAAACTACTAGCAAGTCAGGCAAACCACGAAAGCTGACTTATAGCACCGCCCATAAAGCTAAAATATGCAAAACACTGTGTAGATTGCTGTGGAGCACATACCGAACTTATCCAAGAGCAGCACAGAAAGGGTGAGATCACACTCAAGAAGGTTGTTTCTATCCCTGCACAGATGCAGCTCATGGCAGTTCAGTATCCAAGTGGGTTACATAGTAATGGGAAGAGGGACTGCCTCTGACATAATCTGATTGGCCTGCTCTCTGATCACCTCCCCCTAAGGGGGGAGCAGCCTTACCAGGCCACGGTAGAGGACAATGCAGCCACTTCTGATAAGAACTGATAGACTAAGATCAGAAAGAAGGAGAGGAGGACCTCCCCTATCAGTGGATTTGGGGAGGGGCATGCATGCAGAAAGGGGAGGGAGGGTGGGATCGGGAAGCGAGGAGGGAGGGGAGAAGGGAGGAGAGGAGGGAGGGGCTTATAGGGGGATACAAAATGAATAAAGTGTAATTAATAAAAGTTAAATAAAAAATTTAAAAAAAAAAGGTTGTTTCCCCAGGAGTTAACAAAAGGGAGAGTTAACCTATTCATACAATTCATTTGTCTTTAGCTGGGATCATTTTCTCTAATTACCTGCTTTATAAGCAGTGCTCCAAATTAAAGGATTAAATTGCTTAATGACTTGAAAATGCTAAGTGAAATAACTGTCAACAGAAAACCCATTTTGCTCCTTTTTCTCCTCACCTCCCATGATGAACAGTGCTGTGGAAGTATAAACCCTTCCTCCCCACGCTGCTCTCTGGTCAAGGTGTTCTGTCGCAGCAGTGGGAACCCTGACCAGGACATCATGGATTCTCATCTCAAGTGTATCTGAAACAGGGTTTCCAGAGCAGTTTAACTAGGTGGGGTGACTCATCCTGACCTCCCAGCAGGTAACAAGTGGGGCACTCCAAAAGGCAATCTGCTTCCTGATGTCACCTGTCATGTGACCACCCTCTCAGGCTCCTCTAGCCACGCCCTCCTTACCACGATGAACAAATGTGTGAGCCCAAATAACCCTCCTCGGTAAGATGCTCTTTACCTATCATAGCAACAAGTAATTACAACAGGGTGGAGACGGGGTAGATTGTAACTATGGAGCTAATTCTGTTTTCTTTTAAGACATGTGTCTATAGGGTTCTCATGGTCCTAGAACTGACTCTGCTGTCCAGGCTGCCTTTGTTCTGCATCCCTCATGCTGGGATTAAAGGCATACCTTGCCTAGCACCATTTTTTTTTTTCAGCAAAGTTACAGATGCAAACATTTTACTGTATTCCTTCTTAGATTAAAACAAAACAACCACCACAACAAAACCCTCATGTTTTACATTTTAAAATTGCCTTTAGTAGTACTAATAAAAAGGATAGAGATCATTAGTTCAAATGCCACTTTAATAAACAAAACTGCTAAGACATGCAGAGAGTGAGAGACTTTGAAACACTCAGCCCTACATGGGGTGTCTCCATTAAATCCTTCCCCTCAGGGTTCAGGGAACTCTCAGTAGAGGAGGCAGAGGAGTGTCAGAGCCAGAAGTGCACCAAGAAAACAAAGCCCTCTAAAGCAACATGATCAAAGCTCGTATGAACTCAGAGAGACTGAGGCAGCCTGCCCTGGTCTCAGGGGCCTGCACCAGGCCCTCTGCATATAACTATGGCTCCCAGTCTAGAGTTTTTATGGGATTCCTGAGTGTTTGAACCAGTGAGTCTCTAATTCTTGTGTCTTCTCTTTTCCTTCTATTTGTCTTGTCCAACTCCAATATGTTCATTTTTATCTTATATCTTATATTATCCTTTAGAAGCTTGTTTGTTTTCTAATGAGAAACACAAAGGGGATGGATCCAGTTTGGAGGGAAAAAGTAGTAGAGGAATAGAGGGAGGGGAAACCATAAATACAATATATTATGTGAGAAAAAAAAAATCTATTTTCAAAAAAAGGAAAAAAACTCAAACTTGGTTAAAGAGGTCTTTGTACCATTGATCCCTGCTGTGGTCACTGAATGAAATCACTATCATGAGCACTGCCAGTGAGTTCCCAGGGCACTGTTTGAGACAACACATAATAAAGTAGTGTCAGTCCTCCGTGCAAATCTCCATGGAGGCGCCTGCTCCCCTACACCTTATTCTTTCACGTGCTCTACAACGCTCATCAGCCTTGGAGACGTCCACTGCTCCTGCTCCTTCCTAAGCCACCTTTGTACCAGGACTAGTTTATATTCATTTTTGCATTTTAAACACATTTTCTAAGTTGACAATACTGTATTTTGTTTGTATGCAGCTGAGGCTATCCTTTAACTCCTAATACTCTAGCCCTCTACCTTCCAAAGTGTTAGGAATATGTTAGGAAATGTTCCACCATGCTCAGCTAAAAAAAACGTTTTAAGCCTAAATTTGAGATGGCTTCTAAACCAAACGATAACAGGCTCAGGGCCTCTATTTGAAATGCTTGTGACCAAATATGTTTCCGGTACTGGGAATTTTAGCATAAGCTTTGCTCTCCGAATGTCCTTACTTAAAAATCCAATGCTGCTTACAAGCTTTGGGATTCTGGGCAGCTCTGGCACTTAACTTGTGAAGTGGGAGTTTGACTTCTAGAAAAAGCTCCAGGTAGCCAGGTACAGGGATTCATGACTGCAATCCCAGCCAGCAATCTGGGGCCAGAGGACTGCCTACCTGGGCTATATGGTCAGACTGTGTCAGAAAAGAACTACAAAATAAACAAACAGAAGCTACGGGCACTGCCTTATCTTTCAACACTGTGACGGCAGAAGCTAGGGCCTTCCACACTCTGGGCAGCGCTGTAGCACAGCCCTCTAACTCTAGCCCTACGTGACTACTTTAACCTGTCTGCTTTCCAACCCAAGGCGAACAGTAGTGCTGCTGTAGCTGTCTCCCAGCAGACGGCTCCTAGTGTCATTTACAGCAGGTTTCAAACACAGTTCTTTACCAGAAGTTCCTGCTGCTTGTCTGTGGCTGATCGTCCAATCACCTTGTAGAGCTCCACAAGGTCACCAAGCATTCCGTCCCCCAGCACCGGGAGCTGCATGGCGATGGCTGCCAGGCAGTGGCACATGAGGATCCGGGCCGCATCCTGAGAGCTGTGCAGTTGAGTCAGCAAAGTGTCAACCACCGACCGGCTCAAATGGGGCCGGCCCTTGGCCAGCTTGACCATACAGTTGAGAGCAATCTGTACAGGAGACAGAAAACACCCGTTTGCCGGCTGCGGCTGTTGACAGAGGGCCTGCCTGGCATGCATGAGGCAGCAATCCCTAGTGTGAAGGGCTGAGGTGGAGAGTGCGCTGGCTGCACCTTAAGGATCCCGTAGGAAACTTTAAAGGAGGACACCTTGTACAAACTTTGGCATTCAAGGGCATGCTCTTTGTAGGCTCAGTGTCTTCTCCATAAGAAACACAAGACACTAAATCCACACCAGGACTAGGAAGTGCACTATGCTTGAAGCAAGTCCAGAATGTACACCAACTACTCAAGTCAGAGTATTCAAAAGACAGATGGAATCATGGGAACCAACCCAGCTCCCTGGCTCCTCACCCCCCCACGGTGGATCTCAGGGTGGTGACGGAGCATCTCTAAGCTCGATGTTCTGCAAATGCATGCTCAGTTTACCGATGATCTGGATTCAGACACCCTCAACCTGCACTTTGTGAGCATCACTGTAGGAAGATCCTTGCAATTTTCCTTTACTGCTCAACTGACACCTAAAACCTGACAGCTGCAGCTTCTCCCTTAGGCCGAGTTTACCACCCGCCCATTACCCTAGCTAATGAAACTAACAACACGGAAGCCTCTCGCTTTCCCGATGATTCTTTGATCATGTGTCTAAAACTCACCATTAGCTCCCTCCCATTCTTCTATGATGACACATATGTCTCCCTAGTTCTAATCTCTAGGACAAATGGGCTCCCCAGTCTTCCCTTCACACTACACTACGCAAGCTGTCAGTGTGGCGAGCGCACATGTGACAGTGACGAACACAAAGGTGATCACTTTGCCCTCATTAGCTAGGTAGCTTTGAGCATGTTTCTTTCTCCCTCTAAGCCTTAATTTTCTGGTAAGTATATGAGGGAAACACACTTCAAGAAATACATACACACATCTTCAACAGCCGCGCACATATGACACAACAGATAAGGACAACGGGAGGCTTGTATGTACGACCTAAACATTCTAATGTCTCCGCCTACTAAGTCAAGCTCTTTAGCAAGCAGATCCAACAGCTCTATACTTTCCCATTCTGTAATTAGTCATTCAGATACCATCCTTTCATGAAGGCACATGAAAGGCCTGAGTTGTCTGTAAATACTGCTTGTTTAGGCTCAACAATCCTGCCTAATTCCTGGAACTCATTCTTCAAGGTTCCACTCAAAGCAATCACTCTCAACTCTGCTCTCACTAGCTCTGCTCCCACATTTACAGCGAGGGCTTTCCTGCCCTGGCCTGGCGCTACAGTTCCTTGCTGAAACATCTTACTGCAGATGGAAGAGTGTCTACCTGGAACCTTCCTGAGCCTCTTCACACAGTCACTCTAAATCCAGAATCTTAATCTGTAATTGCCCAGAGGCTCCTGAGCTGGAAATGACCTGAAAGCCTGCTCCTGAGAACTAGCTTTTGCGGTACCAGATGGTTCCAGGCAAGCGTCCAAAGAATGGAAGCAGCCAACAGTCCTACTCAGTGACAACACAGTGAGCCACAACAATGACCAACACGACACAGTGAACCTAAGGCTGCAACAGTGGCACATATGCCTTTTCAGGAACCAACAGCTCTACGTGGACCCGAGACCCTCAACAAGAGGGAAATCATGTCTGGCACTGGACATCCAGCCAACTCCCCAGGGCTTGTAAAGTCATGTATCTTGGAGAACCTACAACTTTATTTAAGTGGCATAATCCTTAACTACATTTTCAATATTTGATTTACAGATACGGACAGGCCTCATCCTTCATCAAGGAAATGTCTCTTTGCAACAGATGACGACCAGTACCAAAAAACAAAACAAACAAACAAACAAACAAACAAAAACTACCCCTCAAAATGCAGAGTTGAGCCAGTCTTAATGGATGTATCTACAACCACCTTACCTAAGGCTCAGAGAACACTATGGAAGAGGGGCAGAATGACAGTTAAAAAGTGACAGGATCAGGGAGTTGCTGTGAGAATGTGTCTCCTAAAAATGTCAGGAACTACATCCTTGAAATCTCACCAACACATCTCCCTAAACATGGCCTGAACAACAACAACAACAACAACAGACATAACATGAGGAGGGGAAAGCCCAAGAGGCCTCAACTCTACAGAAAGAACACAGGCACCTAAAGGAACTGAGAGTGGGAGAGGCAGTCTTCCCAGGGACAAGCACACGGACTGGTCAGCCCGGAAAAGAGCCATACAGTAACACAATGCAGAACAATACAGGTAGCAGGTAGCATTGATGTATTTAGGAATATATATATGCACATACGTGACAATTAAGGAAAAACAGAGGTCATAAATCTGAATGAGAACAGGAGTTAGTATATGAGAAGGTGTGGAAGGAGGAAAGGGAAGAAAGAAATAATGTAATTGTATTAGAATCTCAAAATAAGTAGCAACAACGAAGAGTCTTACCCTATAGTCTGGGAGGCCTAAACTAACTGACAGCCAGGTCAACCTCAAACTCCTAACATCCTGTCTCTGTCCTTCCTCAACAGTACTAGACTGCTGGGCTGAGGTGAAAATTATTTAAAAACAGAAACCCTGGGACACAGAGTTAACAAAATGTAACTAATAAGAAAAATAAAATTAAAAAGAAAAACAAACAAACCAGAAACCCTTCCTCTTTTCACATGTATGTGTCTGCATGTGTGCCTGCGGTTAAGCGACTCCCGAGGGATCTTCTCACTGGCGCTTCCACCTTCTCTTCGTGGCCTTCTCCCTCCCCCACCTCCGTGTCTCCCTCCCCCTTCCCTCTCTGGCCCAGAGCTTCTGGACACAGCTGCTTTGCTAGCCAGCTCGCTACAAGTCTGTTGTTTCTATCCCAGAGCTGGGGTCACACAGCTACCACATCCACCCGGCGTTCACACACACTCTGGGATCCGCCTTCCATCTTGCACAGCAAAGCAAACACTAACTGCTAAGCCATCTCCACAGCACCTGAAGGGGAAAATTCTTATCCACAGGTTTTCCCTTTGCTTAGGAACTAAAACTTCTACACTCCAAAAATTGGTAAATACTCAGACATTAATACCTAGTAATTTTATCAGGTTTTTATTTCACCCTCAATTCAAGGTTATCGAAGATTGAGAGCGTCAAGAGCTCTGGTGTTTATACTGCCAGTGACCACCAGAGGAGGCCCCAGCACCTTAATAAACATAGCTCAGCAAAAACATACCAAGCCTCTGACCTCTATTTTGTTTTCCTTTTAGGATATTACCAGTTGAAAGGCCAGTTTACCAAGCTGGGCACCGTAGTACATGTTTGTAGTCCCAACACTCTGGAGGGCAGTGTGGAAGAATTGTTTCCATTTTGAGGAAATCCTGGGCTACACACTTCAGGGCAATCCCAGGCCAGCCTGAGCTACACTGTGACAATTTTTAAAGCGAATGTCAAGGGCAAATGTTTAAGCCAGGGGATGAAAAACTACTGCCTGTGGGTTAAGTCTAGGGCCTACTGTGTCACAGTAGGGACACCTCCAGCTAACCTTCACACTTTGTCCCTGGCTGAGTTTGCCTTTTAACTGGGGAGCAATGGCAGAGGAGAAGGCCTGCACTAGGAATCAGTGTCCACTGTAGGCTATGGAAGCAGGCGCCGAGTGAGTGGTGTCTTCACCTTCACAGTGGACAGAGCACCCGGACTGTCGTCCTGACTACACAGCACCAGAAGGGACTCCAGGCCGAAGACAGCATCTTGCTCCAGCGACAACAGATCTGGAAGAAAACAGTAGGCCTTAGGGTGGTCAGGGGAAGATTAGCACACGCAGAGAGAAGACATCAAGCCTAATGGCGAAAACAAACATGCAAATCTAACTTTCCTCGAGAGGGGGAAAGAACAATCAAAATATGAGCACTGTGCTTGTGTTTTCAAACTTTAAAAAATGACCTTCTAAAATCACATGCAGTATTTCTGAAACATAAAGGCTCTCTTCAAATACCTTCTTTAACTCCACATTATTGAAGATATATAAAGTACGCACATTAAATCAACAGGTAAAGTCACGAAGCTATGAAGAAAAACTGAACTATTACTATCAGCTCAGCTAGCAAAAATACTAGGGGTGCTGGAGAAATGGCTCAGTGGTTAAGAAGAACAGCAGGAGCACAACACCGGGCCCTGTCAGACACAGACTAAGCAGGTGCGTTCTCCAGTGATCTAACAGCCTCTCTCGCGGAGGCCCAGCAAGCTCTGGGTATGTCCTGCAGCTGCAGCACCGTGCTGTAAGACGCCTGGAGGACCTGGGGCTGTAAACACCACAAGTAATTTAGGTCACCTCGAACACACGGCAGTCTCCCATCACACATGCAAGAAATGTGTTTTGTTTGTTTGTTTTAAAACTAGGCTTAAGTGCTCAAATCAATCGAATGTCTACCTTGAGTCAGTTTCCCCAGCTTACTGTAGGACCTTGGCAAACAGTACAGAAACAGGAGGTGGGGGGACAGTGCTGAGGAGGCTGCTGAGCTTGGGGCAACATGAACACTGAGGCAGATACACTGGTCAAAGTGCACTTCCCGTTCTTGAATGCAGGCATGAAAATTTTCAAGCCTTACACTTAACGATGTCAGAGGGATACTAAAATGCCTCCTCTCTGTCTGCGCAGGTCAGCTCAATGTTACATGTATCTAGAGACGCAGGCTAAGAAACTCTAAAAGCATGCTCCTGGCAGCTCAGGCCCCTCTAAATAGGAGCACCTGCTCTGTGAGCGCGCGGCTAACCTGAGTGACAGGGGAGTGCCTGTCTCATGCAGGCCGACTGTCCCCGCACCGCACACAGCACGGTGAACAGGGGAACTGGCAATGCCCAGGAGACACTTCACCTCCACAGTCACGGCGGCCGGGCGGCCTAAGACACCTGCATTACCACACTGTAGATGGATGCAACTGCAGATCAGTGCACACCGGCTAAAATCGAGGGACTGGGCTGCCCGGCCGCAGAGGTCTGTTCACACTGCTCTCGGGAGCCACAGGAGCCAGTCCTGCGCACACTTACCTTTTTCTTGACAAGACACAGTTATATTCGTCAGCACTCTCACTCCATGAGCTGCGATGCCCCTGTTGCTATGGTAGCAGCACTCTTGGGCTAATTTGACTAAATCAGAAGAACTGGGGGAAGAACCTACATTTCCTAAACAAGCATAGAAAAGCAACACATCACAATTCATTCATATGGTTCAAGAAAGCAGTTCAGCTTGGAGGCTCAGTGTTCTTAGTTTTATGAGAAAGTCTCTCGTAGATTAACAGTATTTTCTACCTGACTCCACTGAAAATACAGTACCACCATTTCTTCCTCCTTGGTTGGGGTAAGGTAGGGTGTGCCATCCCATTTTTCAATGACTGAATTTTAAAATCAATCTAGGCCTTTCTCCATAAAAACATTACTGAAAATTGACTGAGAAACAGTGCAGAAGCCAAGACAACTATACGCTGCACTTCAGGAGTTGATGGATTCCCATCCAAACGAATGACGCCACTGTCATCCTCGTCAGATAAAGCAAGGTCAAAGAAGAACACATTGCTTGCTCCTTTCTGCCCCAAATAGCTGACGCTATACCTCAAAAGGTTCACATAAGAATCCATGAACACGCAGCTATCAAGGGTACTGGAATCAGGGAATTAACTATTTTGACAAAAGAAACAAGTACAAAGGCTTTTCGTAGCCCATCATCATGGTCATAAAACTAGCTGACCACTCAGCACTCTTCTACAGTATTCTTAAAACTCAGATTTCCAAGTTTGTGAGGTAAGGCCTTCATTTATAGGAGACAGGCTCCTGATTCCAGTGTGTGAGCCTCAGGAACAATCAAAGCTCTGCTTCCTCCCCCCTCCCCAGTTACATAGGGTTTCTCTGTGCAGCCCTTGGTTGTCCTGAACTCTCTTTGTAGACCAGGCTGGCCTCAAACTCAGAGATCTGCGTGCCTCAGCCTCCCTGAGTGCTGGGGTTACAGGCATGAGGCACCACACCCAGCTGATCTCTGCCTTTTTTATTCCTCTTACAACTCCTGACAACTTCAACCTGTCTGTCTCACCAAGAAGACCTTCATCCTCGAGCATGAAGTCGACACTGCTGAAAACACAACAGGCAGGAGCCCCGATGGTAACATGTATAACCACCTACTGATTGCTGTTTAGATGTGACAACACCCGTTAGGTGAGATCTTTGTGCTTTACGATGGATAAAACATTACAGAGCTGAAACTATACAACCAATTTTTTCAGAACTGTGGAAAATGAACTCCTAGGGTGTAGCCACTGCTTTTCTTGCTCACATGATGTTTTATAACTTCACATTTTTTTTCCTCTTATAGAATATACTACAAGAAATTTGTTGGGAAGGGAGCAGAAAAGCCCAAAGAAAACAGTAATTTCTCCAAATCTCACAAATCAGCATAAACTTATTGCTGACTTTTTAGAATATTCCTTGTGTAACAGTATCTTCATTTATGCACATTAATGCAATCTGAAATTTTATACACCATCAGGACTTGTAGATACTGACCAATATCATGCTTTTAAGGCATAAGATTTTTAAAATTCTCATTTTTTTTCTTTATTTATTACTTTTTTTTTTTTCCAGACAGTCTCTGTTCCCGGCTGTCCTGGAACTCACAGAGCTCCTCGGCCTCCCACATGCTGGGGTTAAATGCATGTGCCATCACACAACTGATGAATGGGTGACCTTAGCCAGTTTTGGTCAAAGCTCTAGAGGACTGCAGCCAGGAGCGACTTCTAAAGACACCAGAACCCAATTACAACTGCTGAATGACAAACAAGAGCAAAGGAAAGTCATAGTTTCAGCTACAAAATCTTGAAAAGCTTGTTATAGAAAACAGGTAACACATAGCGAGCAGCTCACAGGATTACCAGAAAGAGGGCAACACTAAGGTTTCCTAACCTTGGAAGGGGGCCAAAGAACAGCACAGATCAAAGCCCCAGACCCATATGTAATCAGGTGAACACACTGAGGCCTCACTTTTGGTTCTAGGTCACAGCTTACACAGACACCACGGGACCAGTTGTGACACACAGCCTGTGGGGCAGTGCCATCTAGAACTGTTCTATCACCACAATGGATTCTCGCACACTTTGGGATTTATTATTGTCATGGGAACCATTAGACTACATGTGGACCCTCACAGCAAGGGAGACATAGAGTATCAAGAGAGCGGTAGAAACATCATGCTTTGTAGTTCCTATCAAGACACACGGCAGAAATTTCCTTTACCCAATATATTCATGCCAAGTGGTCACGAAAAGAACAAGTCCATATATACTAGAATTATGTAATTCAAATTAACTGATTGTAAAAGGCAGCAACAGAGATGTAACAAAACTTTCATTAAAAGTCTACCAGATAAGCTGACTCGTCCCCAGGAGCTACAGGCCAGTTCTATCGACGGCACCAAGAAGCCGTCCTCAAATACATCACCAGCACACCACAGGTCACCGAAGAAAACAGCCTGAGACAGGAACACAGACACAGGAGTCCTCACATCATCTCTGCCTCACCTGGAGCTACACTGAAGTAATGTTTAATGGCGATGGTCCCGGACAGCGTGGCAAGGACAGACAGCATCCCTAGTTTCAAGCTGTCATAAGGAGTCTGGAGGGCACATTCACAGAGTGCCTGAAATGGAGAAGAGAAATGAACATAGAATGTGACACATCAACACACATATTTCTATATTATCAAATTTACCTAAGTTTATTAGCTTAAAAAAAAAAAAAAAACAAAAAACACAAGGTATTTTTTCCATGATGAAAAACAAAACAGGTCAAACTATCAGACTCCTTGGAGGAGCCTCTGAAGACATGGTAACCAGATGTGATGTGGGGTTCTAGAGCAGAAAAAAGGCCTCGGGTAAAACCCAGAGCCATCCAGAGTGTGGGAACGAGGACGGTGCATCGCTATCAGTTCACGCACTGAGGCTCAGACTCGGGTCAGATTCTACACACGCACACCGCATTCTGACTCCCGCTCCATACTGGGCCCTCACCACAGACGTGCTATACCAACGTGAATTACCCATGAAGGGGAACTGGGTACGGGTGTGACCTTCTCGGTAATTCAACACACATAAAACCCGAGGGCCTCTGGCCTGTGCTCAACACAAACTCGAGGTGGATCTTTTTTCACTGCAGTAGACTAGGAGCATGTGCTCAGAGCACAAGGCCTCTACTGCTTTCTGGGTAATGTGAGCCTGTACCATAAGACAACTGTCTTGTTGAATTAAACTAACTTAGAGGAAAAAATTAAAATAAAAATTTTAGAAATAATACATTCAGTAAGATCTCAATAAAACCACTAACAGGATTTGGAGAGATTTAATTCAGAACATATAATTACATATATTATATGGTAATACACACACACACACATGCATGCATGCACGCACAAGCACACTTTTTTTCTTTTTTGAGACAGGGTTGCTCGACATAGTCCTGGCTGTCCTAGATCTTACTCTGTAGACCAGGGTGGCCTTGAACTCACAGAGATCTGCCTGCCTCTGTTTCCTGAGTGCTGGGATCAAAGGCAGGTGATATCACACACGGCATGGATTTTTTTTTTTTTTAAATCCAGAAAAGTTCTGGCAAGAAATAAATGTAAATATGTACTAGAATTTAAACCACGCTAATGACATTTCAAATCAGCAATCACTTGAGCTCAAAGGAGCGACCTTGTGCCAGTCATCCAGCAATAATAAAGTTAAATCCCTGTTTCTTTTCTTACAGTTAATAAAGAATACAACTCTAAAAAGTGTTAAGAATCAATATGATGACAGTGCTGTGGTGCAAGGGAGACAGAGGCAGGTGGATCTCTGTTGAGTTTGAGATCAGCTTGGTCTACACAGTGAGTTCCAGAACAGCTAGGGCTATAGAGAGACCCCTCAAAATTAAAAAAAATAAAAAATAAAAAATCAATATTGAGTCCACAAGTCCACTGGCAGAGCCTGGCATGCAGCTTAGCCTGCACGAGGCCCAGGGTCCATCCCTGCACCACCTAAAGCAGGCATGGTGGCACACACCTGTGGTCCCAGCACTTGGGAGGTGGAGGCAGGAGGGTCAGAAGCGCATGTCAATCTTGACAGGATCTAGTCCCTCTTAGGACAGCCTGGGTTGGACCAGTCTGTTTTGACCCTTCCCCACAACAAAAATAGTCAATATGGAAAAACAAAAAGTAAAAACCTGACAGAACTGCATCACATAAGATCAGTAACAGGCTAGAACGTGCACACAAGGTTCCTGCTAATAACAAGCAAAATCCACTGAAAACTGGTACAGGCATACTGTATAAAAACCTAATTAAATCAGGTATTTAAAATCATCTATACTTTTCAAATTAAAGATACTAAAATATATGTCACTGGACCTACCAACTCCTCTTTGGAAGCTCATGTTTACAAAGGTGACTGATACTGTTCCCATGCCGATGGCAGACGGGCAGAGCACTGGAAATGACTCTAAGAGCTACCAGGGAGACTGGAACCCAGCTAGGGAGAATGCGCCATTGTCTGCCAACAGGGATGCTCTCCAGAGTGGACAGTCATGTGACAAAGCTTCAGAGCGCACACACAGGAAACATAGCAAATGCCTCCTTGCGAGCTGATGGAGACACTGACATTCAGTCATCGCTTCTGCAGAGGAAGCCCACGAGAAGAAGAATCGTGTGCTTCACTCACTGTCCAGCTTGAACTCTGGGAATTATGGTCAGAGTTCTTCAACCACAAGAAAAACCTACTTCCACAACTGAATCAAACGCAGCAGCTATCGCCATGGGCAGAGGATTAAGAAGCTGCAGCAGGTTGTTCGTGGGACAGGAAGGCAGCCATGGCGAGCTGACAGTTACAGCAGAAGGTGCAGTGCTCGCCCTGCCCAAGAGAAATGGTGAATGCATCAACACTAAGAGACGGGAGGATGGGTGGAACTGTGGAGGGCCTTAAGAGTTAGGCAGGAAAACATCCACAGAATGAAAAGCACAGAAGCCGCTGAGGGGAGTAACGCCTGCCCAAGAACACTAACCTGGCAATGGAAGAGGAGAGTCAACAGAGTGAGGCTTAGACAACCTGCACCTCAGGCCGTGGCCCAGGCTGCGGGGAGACGACTACTGCAGACTCCGGGGGAGAGAGGAGAGGCATTTGGGCTTTCAGGAGGGCAGTGGTTCTAATTTAATCTAGGGCCTTGGGCATGGCCACATGTGCACTCTACACTGACTACCTCAGAAAACAGGATGAACATGAAAGATTCAATAATATTACAAAACATCAAGCCAGATGCTGAGCCCACTAACACAGAGTAACAATCTGTGGGGGACAAGAGAAGCTGATTTGAGAGGACACGGGGGGGGGGGGGCATGGAATCCAAGCAGCAGCAGTCATTAGACATTTGGAATCGAAGTTGCACAGGACTCGGACCATGTCACAAGTCTGACTGTCCTGCTTGCCAGCCTGGGGTGAGTCACTGAGATCTGTGTGCAAGCCCAGAACTCAGACACTGATGGCCACTGGGCAAAGGAACAGTGCAGACAGCAGAAGCACATCAGTGGACACCTTCTGCAGGTCAGGATTTTGTTATGAGTACACCAGCATCAGAAAACAACCAGGCTGGGATGTGGCTCAGTGGTCGAGTGCTTCCTTACCATCATGCACGAATACCACAAAATAAAATTAAAACTCAAGACAAAAGCAGGGCAACATCTAATGACTGCAGGGTTGAAGCCACAGTGCTGTGCAACCTCAGAATTCTGCCGACAGAGAACACCCAGGCTGGGCTAAGCGGACTGGGAGACAGAGGAGGCGCAACACACTGGTAGCAGACCCGTTAGAGCTGCAGCCTCACACTGGGGAATGGGGCTGTGCTGAGCAGAGAGGACACACGCTGCACAGGAAGGGAAAGTGAACAGCTCTAACAGGCACGTGTCAGGGAAGAGAAGGGACAGGCGCATGCACCGAAACCTAAAGCGATGAAGGTAGAAAAAGGTGGTTTAGTATTATGAACACTGGTGGCCCTTTACAGTCAGGGAAACAGATCTAAATGCAAATGTGAAAAGTTACAAATACTGCTTCTGAAGCCCAAGTGAAAACTCTTTTTAAAAGTGATCACTGCTCAAAACTATAGCTTTAGTTGTTTATTCTTAGGCCACTTCTAAGTTTTCTTTTTTAAAGTGCCTCATGTATCCTGTCCTGTCATGTCCTATTCATCAGTTGCAGGCTGGGACTAACCCGCTATCAGCTGGGGCCAGAAGCTACAGAGTATACCTTGTTCTTATACACGTCCAAGTTCTGTCCCTGCAGAGAAGGCATTTAACCTTTCCTTCCTATTTCATGGAAGATAAAGACTGGCATTCTCTGTGCAGCCCTGGCTGTCCTTGAAATTGCTCTGTAGACCAAGCTGGCCTGGAACTCAAGAGATCCGCCTCCTCTGCTTTTTGAGCGCAGGGATTAAAAATGTGAGCCACCACATCTGGTCTAAAAATGATAAATTTTTAAAAAGAATTTTACCATTTGGAAAACTGAACCAAACCTGAGAAAATATTATGCTGTGATAAAATGACAATATTATGATAGGCTCTGTCATGTAGCCTGTTATCAAACACCATGGTCTCAGTAAGTACACTGATAAAAAGGCTTCATGGAACAAATCATGAAGCACCCTAGAGACGCTACCTCCCCCACCTGTCAGTATGAAACGTGCTTCACTTTTAGCATCCACAAAGGGGCAAACAAACCTCTTCACACGGAGTTTCCGCTCTCACTGTTCTTGCTAACTCCCTGATTCAGAAGACGCCCTGTCTGCAATTTGCTGTCCTTTGTGTGAGTCGCTAAATACAGGTTTCTTTTCCAGCCTGAGTGGGACGGGCCACCAGGGATGTGTCCCAGAAACAGTATAAAAAGATCATAATCAGAGCTGGTGGGTGGTCAGGAAGTAAGGGCACTTGCCACCATGACCGACAGCCTGAGTTCAAGCCCAGAACCCACAAAGTGGAGCAGATAACTCAATTGCTGCAAGCTCTCCTCTGACCTCCACATTCATGCCACGCATTTGAACCTCCCATCCTACCCCAAGAAACATGTATTTTTAAAAAGATACATTTCTTATAATCCCATTTATATAGTCTATATAATAAAATTGTTTTAATTTTATGGTGTGTGTGTGTGTGTGTGTGTGTGTGTGTGTGTGTGTGTGTGTGTGTATGGCACACATGTGAGGCCAGAGGTCAATTTGGTGAAGTCCGCTCTCTCCTTCCACCTTTATGTGCTTCTGGGGACTGAACTCAGGTTATCAGGCTTGCAAAGCAACTGCTTTTATGAACAGAGCCATCTGCCCAGCTCCATAAAACACAATTAGAGAGGCAGAAATCAAGCTGGGTATTATAAATTGGAGAAAGACTGGCTTTAGACAGCTCTGAGGAAGTTTTGGAGTGGGGAAAATTGTCCTGTATTTCAGTTTGTGACAGTTAAAGAAATCAGTTAAAAGCCAGTAAATTGGACCCAGAAAGTTTCTACAAATAAATTATAGCATATATAAATCTTTTAAAAATACATTGCAAATTAATTAATGGTAATGCTAACAGTATATAATAATTTATGGGATATGGACAATCTGTGAAACAGGAAATTAACAGTGTTAAGTATTTTCATTATTAAGCAAGAAGAATAATGAAAATAACACAGTTGAGAAGCACAAGAAAGCCAAGTTTCTGGCAGTGCAGGCACTGGGGGTGCATGCTGAATCCACGCCCAGCACTGTCCAAACAACACAGCCAGAAAGAAAGGAGGCAACAGGACACACACCGAGCTACAGGATTTGGAACACAGCAAAGGTACTATAAACTGAAACACATATTGAAGAGGGATGACTTCATGCCAAGAACATCCAACAGACTCCAGCAGCGACCACGGTAATGGGAAGTGTTCTCAGGACACTTCCTGGAGAAAGTTCCGACTCAGGTGGACTTAGAGCACACTATATGCTCTCAGGAAATAGGAAACTTCTGTGACTGTTTGTAGCTGCGACAGAGCAGGAGAGAGAAAGCACTCAGATCACTTTACTAAGACTTTGTAGCCCCAACTCTAAACTGTACCAAAGCCCAGGAAAGGAAAGGTCCACAGTTACCTTACCCATCAGGTAGCTTTTCAGACGGCCGTAAAAACACACTTGGCAGACATCAGCACACACTGCTGCTCTCAAATCTGTCCACTACCTGGCAACTCTCTGCCCGAGTGTTCTGTGTCTCTGCTTCTGCAAGCCTCTTTTTCCCTCTTGCCTTTGCACGCGCGCGCATACACACACACACACACCCACACCATTATTTTTCTCCTAACTAACTGAATGAACACACAGAGCTGGTGAGATTTCACTGGTTAAAGACACTTGCCATCAAGTGGAGTCAGCCCCTGGAACCCTCATGGTGAAGAGAGTCACTTCCCACGAGTCAGTGTCCTCTGGCCTCCATGTGCACACACATGCTTGCCCACCCAAATAGACAGCTGAGGAAAATCACTAGGTGTCCTCCTCTTGCCCCTGTGTGAAGAAGGTGGAAGCACCCACTTGTGTAAGGACCCCTTCCAGCCTCATCTCTTCCAGAATGCTGCTCTTGTATCTGCCTCCTCGCCTGGCCACTCCTGTCACTACAAAGCAGGGGCCTCTTCCCAGGCTGACGAGCAGCACAGCCTCCTCATGCTGGCAGGTCTCGGGAGGACTGCAGCTGCAGTGTGGCTCCTCTTGGCCAGTGGTTCATGACTTACTTCTAACCCATTAGACATCTACCGTAGAGACCCTCAAATAAAAACGCCCGGATTGCATCAGTCAAACCCAAGGCCGTGCATTTCAATGTAGACGTCCACCCTGGACATTACACTTTCACTATTTTTATGAATTTATCCACCCCCAAAATGACAGAGTTAAGCTAGGAAAATTAGCTTTACCGTCTCTCAGCACTCATGTGTCCATGGGCGGCTCCTGTCAGCCTCTCCAGCTTGTGTCGCTCACTTTCCCTAATTCTGTCATGTGTCTGGGAAGACTGGAAAACTAGCAAGTCTTCAGGCTTTAAACACCATCTATACATTGGGGACTCTCAGACTTGTAACATCCGCTACTTTACCCTCCGGATACACACATCCTTAACTTTTCCAACCGGTGCCCTTCCCCCAGACAGTGTCGTACATATGCAGCCCTGACTGACCTCAGCCTCACTATGTAGCCAATACTGATCCGTCTGCCTCTTCTGTCCCAAGTCCTGGGATTACAGGCATACACATCTGGGTATTCTCCTTGGGTTTTTTCTTTTAATGTTTGATAATTTCATGCATATACACAATATGAACATATTCACGTTACCCTCTCTCATGTTCCACGTATTCCTTCAGACCCCCCTCCTACTTTTATGTCCTAGTATGTGTGGAGCTTGTACAAGGAACCAAGGCTGCTATGTGCTCACGATCACCCTGGTCATGTCATATCAAGAATTTCAAACTCCTACTCTGCCCTTCAGAAAATGAGCCTCCTGATAACTCCATTTGTGGAAGGCAAAGAGTCTCGGTGCAGGGGTTCTTAACCTTTCTGATGTTGTGACTCTTTAATATAGTCCTTCATGTTGTGGTGACTCCAACCAAAAAATTATTTTCACTGTACTTCCTAACTGTAATTTTGCTACAATTATGAATCATAATGTAAATATCCGTATGTTCCGATGGTCTTAGGTGACCCTTGTGAAAGGATGGTTTGACCCCAAAGCAGTTGTGACCCACGGGTTGAGAACGACTTAAGTCTCAGAGCTGCCGTTGTTTTTACTCTTTCAAACACATGGCTCACCGGGTGGGAGAAGGTAGAGGTTACAGGGAGGGCTCTGCAGTTGACAGCAACTGGCAGAAGACCTTGTTAGGCTCTGCTCACTGGTGCCTTCTGGCTTTGGATGTCACTTACACTCAGAAGAACACACATTCAACTGTCTGATAATGGACTGAAATACACACAGCAAGACAGAAGTTTACAAAGATGTCACTCTGGTTTGAGTCCTTCTTTGGAGGTTTCATTTTTTGAAATTTAAGCCTCACTTTGAAGTATGAGAGGCAGAAACTTCGTCTGAGCACAGTGCCATCCTGGCTCAGGCCATTAGCATCTTCTTCTTATGTACTATGTACCTGAATGTTCTCCTTACTCCACGTGTGTGGTGTCTTATTAGCCAGCAGCTTCAGATCCTGAACAGCAAGCCTCTTCACTGCTTTCCTGGGGTCACTCTTCAAATACTGCAACAGAAGCTGAATCTACAAAGACAGCAAAGTCCCTCTGTCAACGGCATGTTTCCTGAAACTGTCAGTGGGGGCCAGTGCTACTTGTCCAGTCTGGTAGATTACAGCCAGGACTCCCTGCAGAACAGAGCCCTCACTGTTACCTATAGATTCGGGTTTGGACCTTTCTCCTTACACATAAATGGTGTAAGCCTTGAGCAGAGAACCTGGCATTTAAGATATTCTATCATGATCCTGCCATCTTTCTGTGTTCTGCTGACTGTGTTCAGTCTGGACTCTTCAGATGCCTCTGCCTGCTCTCTCCCTCATATCTACGATAAACCTCTCTCAATCATAAAAAAAAAAAGTCCATCCTTCCATCCTTTCTTTTCTACCAACAATCCTTCCATGTATTTACTAATGCCTCTTCGTCCTCCAGAGCTCACAAGAATAGAACTGTAAGAGAGACCTTAACACTATTAAAACTTAGGGTTGCTTCTTATTTTTATCACAGACTAGATATGTACATTTACGAAGAATAAACAGTTAAAATGGAAATTACCTGCTTGGGTGTGTCAACCAGTGAGGAGGCTGAAAGCAGAGTGAAAGTGTGCAAAGACACGATGACCATTTTGGTGGAGGGATAGGACGTGACCAGCTGCTGTAGGAGCTGGCGGGCACTGGAGGCCAAGATGGCATCATGGTGCATGTGCTGCAGGATGGGGATCAGCTTCAGCTTCAGGTCCACTGGCGTGGCCAACCCTGAACACAACGAGTTGTTCATGTGTCTGCTACTTAATGTTACTTCATCAGGTTTCTTTGAAACTAAAGGTCTGACTTTAAAAGTTTCATTTAAAAACAATTTGTGCAATACATCACAATGGTTACAACAGTCAAGATAATTATAGTAGA